CTTTTCTTTAAATTTGATAGTTCTGTTAAAATTCTCTAAAATGCCATTATCTATTTTACTAATTTCCTTCTCTTGTTCTATTCCCAATGTTTCTAATGCCCAAAACTGCTTTAACTGTGTTGAGACCAATTTGTCGTCAACAATAATGTCCATGTTTAACAAATTTACCATTAGAATCAGTCCGGCCTTGAAGACACCATCCAAATATTGTTTCGGAAGCTATAAGTTTATTTTTAAAATGTTTAAGTCTACCAGTTATTACTTCATGATACAGTCAAAAGTCGTTAATCCAGACTCGTCGGGACTTCGGTGATTCCGGATTATCGATTCTTCTGGATTATAGATCATCAGTTTAAATCGCATAAGATGGCATGCAGAAATTCTAAAATTAAAAATATGAAACCGTAATTTATGAAATAAAGAACAATTATGATCTAAAGGGTATTAAAATTTACAAAAAAAAGCTTAATATTTATTTGTTTACTTTATTAAATATTTCTTTCAATGTAAGTTGTTTCGTTTTATGTGATAATACTTTCTCTTTAATTCTATAAACAGACATAATTTTTTGTTCACTTCCAAAGTTCCACTGTTCAAGTCCCGTTAATTGCTGTGCCGAAAATACCGACTAACTTGTCAATCGAAATTTTTTCGTTTTCACCAACCTCTCTGTCACATTCTTCATGTCTTTATCTATCTTTTGCAACAATTCCACTTTTTGTTTGATGGACATCGAAACATACTTTCATTTTGTACAATCCTTTGGGAGCTCCAGAATCAAAAATTCTATTTGACATAATTGAAAGTTCAAGTTTACTTTTTTAGTATTGCTCTTACAGTCTGCAAAAAATAATAAGCCAGATCCAATTAGAAAATTAAGGAACAACGCAATCATCAACATTAACTGAAATAGATAGATAATTAGATAATTTTAGCTTACACCATCCGTTATACATAAAACGCGCACGTGAAAACGTATTCTGCGCTTGCACACACGCAAATGCGCAGTCGTAAGAGGTCTTACATGCACGCGTAAACGCCTATGCGCATGTGTCAATGCGGAGCATGCGCAGAAAGTTTTTAGCTTTGAGGTCCGGATTATAGATCATTCCAAATTATGGGTGTCCGAATTAACGACTTTTGACTGTAGTAATCTGCTCCGATCAAAACAGCAATATTTTTATCACTGAATTGACAAGAATCAGCTAATTGTAATCCTATTAACTCTGTTAATTTTGGAAACTGGGATATCAGGGAAAGGCCAATTAGTTGCACATATTTGGTTAGTTTCTAAAGCTTCAATTTCTATATTTATGGATGGTTTACTTCTGTTTTCTAGTTTGACTTTAACAACATTGTAAGTTTGTTCTGTTGCCTGTTTAACCCCAAAGGCAAATACGGACAAAGTTTCCTTTCGAATAACAGGTAAGTTACACTTCTCTGAAATGTCCCGAATTATAAAACTTCCCATCGATCCATTGTCTAATAGAATATGAACTGGTTCTAAATTATCCTTCTCAGAAAATGGACGTATCATCACAGTACATGTTTGTAGCAATGCACTGCGGAAAGTTTCGGTTTTTAATTGACTAATCTGAACATCTTCTTTACTGGATGGAATTGTCGACACGACCTTGTTTTTCTCCGATTTGGTTTCGGGTTCCGATTGGAAACAAATAGACCTATTGTGTTTTTTATTACATATTTCGCACATTTTTCTTTCCTTACACTGCTTAATTTTATGCTGAGATTTAAGACACAAAAAACATCGGGCTTGAGATTTTAAAATATTTCTTTTCTCCTCCACGGTTTTAATTTCGCAGCGCTCCGAATCGTGTAGTTCGTCACAATATATGCATTTACTGCTAGCGACTGGAGCAACATATTCATACGTTTTAGGTGAACTTCTCAAACTGTTTACTGCGCTTCTTGTTTACATTATCGTGAGCGGAGTGGAGAGGATCGTTTGATTTATGCCTCCAGTTATGAATCATTTCCGCTCGGTGTTTTGTTTTTGTTTCTCTTCTTTCATTTAACTGCATAGCTCTTTCGCGGCTTTCTATTTCTTTGCGAATAAATTCCATTAATTTGTTAACGTTCCATGTTTGGTCACTGTTTCTACTGCGACTATATTCTAATGTTATCTCTGATGGAATTAATTTTAGCAATATTGGGCAAAGTAAACTACCGTAAGTTTCTGATACCACGTTCATTGACTTTAAGCATCTAATTTGAGTTTCACACTGATCATATAAATTCCTAAGATTTTCTATATCCCTTACATTTCAAACAGGGAAAAAGATTTAACAGTTTATTCATGTGAGCATTTATTACCAAATCTTTTCTCCCAAACCTGTTAGTTAACAATTCTATAGATGAATCGTAGTTCTCATTTGTAAGCGAGAGTCCGGAAACGGCATTATAAGCTACCCCACCTAGTAATGACTTTAAGTAACTGAACTTATTTACTTTCGATAATGAGTCATTGTTATGGATAGCTGCCTCGAATTGACTCCAAAATTCCTGCCAATTGCTAGAATCACCAAAAAATTTAGCGATAGTTAATTTTGGAAGGCGAATAATTTTATTATTTTCAAGTTTGGAATCTATAGCGGTTTCATTAGGATCCATACTTTCCTTATTCGAATTTTCGAGTTTGTGTAATTCCCTCAATTTTTTCCTCGCTCTAAATTGCCACAGTTGGATTTTTTCTTCATATTCTAGAGCGAATGAAACTTCAAGTTCAAATTCATCCTCTGGGACCTTCAAATCCTGTTCTATTTGAGTGCTTAAATCAATCAGAGTTTTTGCCTTTTCGTTTAATATGTCTAAAGTTTCTTTTATTACATTTATACTAACGTCATCTTTGCTTAATTCTGTCTCAATTTTCTTTAGTACCTTGGACACTATGGTCCTTAATACTTTGCATTTCGACTTAAGCTTAGCGACAGGATCTTCCATAATTACACTTAAAAATAGAAAACTTATCCTACCTGTTTTTTGCAGGCTTCGCACACTTCACACCGTGCTAATCCATACTTACCAATCCATATTTTCGAATATTAGCTGACTTCCCGGCCGATGCACCAAAACTGTTTTTGTACGCACTAATGTACACTATTCGAATCACGAATGTCACTGCCTATGCATCTAACTATGAATCTAATGACGTATCTAAATGCCACATCTAAATTTCTGCAAGCGGTGGTTCAGCTTTAATTCTAACAGAACAGAAACCGACGGAACAGAAACCATCAGTTGCATACCCACTAAACTTGCATACGGAACTACCATTAAACTCCCGGGCGAATTTTTCGACACATCGAATACTGCAACTGATCCTCTTGAATACGTCAAAGAACTTTGAAGTTGCATGCAGCAACTTAAACCAAAACCAACTGGATCACATACAGCAAAAGCACAAAGAAGATTCACAAATACTTAAAAATGTGTTCACATGTGTTTGTCGACATGATACAGTATGACAGCCACTTCAACCACCGTATGACGGCCCTTTTAAAGTTCTCAAACATGGTGAAAAAGTGTTCAAATTATCCGTTCATGAAAAAATTATTTCGATTACAATTGACCAGGTGAAAAGAGTTTTTCTGTTGAATACCGACATGGATACTCGCTCTCCTGATACTTTGAAACCCAAATATGCCCAACATGCCAAATCAAATATTCGTCAAACTCGTTCGGGCAGACGTGCATTTCCCTGATTTTTACGTATCATCACAAGGATACTGGAGGGGGATATGCAGCTGAGCACACAGAAATAAATAAATCATGTGTGAAGTTCTTGCAATTCACTGTTCCCCGCCTTTACGAGGTATCACACAACATGTTTTTGACATCACTGAGACATAACTACATGACTAGTGTCAGGAGATTTTAACGTTCCCCAATGTGTCTGTCGTCAAAGCCTCTCGATTTCAGGAGGGGTGTCAAACCAATGATCTCATTTTTTCTCTGATATCGTAAAATATTACTGTAAAACTAGGGAGGCGTGGCTAATTCAGACTGAAAATTTTCGCCATCAGAGACCAAGAGAAAGCTCCTGAACTCTCGACTAGAAAGACCTACCATGCTCTCAGGTCTTGACTAGAGAGAACTTTGTTAAGAGACTCCTCATACTACGAGGACTATAATTCATTTTTAATACCTATCTATGCTATCTATGAATTATATATATGTGTGTGTAAAGAGTTCTAGTAATAATAAATATGTTTGAGTTTAGAATGGAGTAAGAGTACGCAACTTCACAAACTTACCCAATCATTACAAGGAGTCAGATATGCTACCTGCATCACTTAACACTGGGTAACCTGGAAGTCACTCCCAAACAGTGACAAACAAACAAAAAAAAAAAAAAAAAGTTTCTGTGACAAAGGCTTTGAAAAACTAACAAAACGGCAAAAAATCGTCGGTTTGGATAATGATTACGACCCACAATAAATTTACTGCTTTCATGCTTTTTTTTTCCATAGCTTTATTAAAAACGTTTTTTGGCAGAAAACTTTTGCTACAACCAGATATAATGCACACTCAAACATTTGATAATGCCATTAATAACTTAAATGTTATTTAACACAGCATATATCTGATCCAAAATATGAAGCAATAAATACTCATTGGATCTTTTGAAATTTTAAAGAATAAAAGCGAATTATAAAAAAGCATGACTTGCAGATGCACAAAAAAGACAAACAAAAACATAAAGGGCTATCTTAATATTTCTCATAGAATCATATAAGTTATTCAGAAAGTAAATAATTAAGCATTGTAAAAGGACAATTAAGATTTCTAATTTCAAGTAAAAACAAAAATACAAAAAGACCATTTTTTATACTTTAAATATGAAATTAAGAAATAAAATAATTTAGAATGAATTCTAAAAACACCTACAGATGATTCATTTGAACATATTACAATTTTTGTTTTATATATCATAAAGGTAACTGTTTACACATATAAGTATATAATCAATAAATTATTACCTTCTTGCCCTTTTTCAAAATAGTTCCCAAGCCTAAGAATGGCTTTAGAATGTCCTAAAATTGCACACTGTGAAAATATTTCTGCTGCTACTTTTTCATTTCTTTGTACACCCCAACCATTTTCATAACACAGTCCAAGGTAGTATTTCCCATCAAGAATCTAAAATTCAAAATCTTTTTTACTTTAAGTCATAAAATAAAGAATAAATAAAATATTTTTATGGAAAAATCATACTGTTTTCAATTTGTTTTATTAAAATATAGATAAAATTAAATTAATAAATAAATTACATAATACTCAGAATTTAAAAAAGGGACAGAAAAAGATAAGCTACAAGAGACGAAAACATCGACATGTGAATATAAATATGTTTTCAAAATCTGCAGTTGCTTTTTAGAATAACAATACACTGTAAAAATGGAGGGAAAATAATTTCACTACTTACATTATTGTTAGCCATATTCTGAAATATTTGGTAAGCATCAGAAAAATTTTCATCTTCCAAGCATTCCAAACCTAAATACAGTTGAGCCTATTGGGATAAAAACATTTTAAATTATTCTTTGATTTAAACTGAAACAATAAGCAAGCACCTCTTTATTTGCAACAATATCTCTTTAATTGAAACTATGAAATATATTTTACTTCTAATGATAATCATGAATGTATTTAAAATATGCAGATCCAATCTTGTTTAATCCAATCCAACCAGTCAGGTTTTCACTAGAAGATTTTTTTCTTGAGAATCAAATTTTCACTGTCTAGGAAAAAGTTCAGTATGCACTATATCGATACAAAGTACCAGTTTTTCCAGAAAATACAGCAAAGTTAAATGACATCACTGCTAATCATAGGTTAGAAAACTTTTTAGATTACTTTTAAATTAGTGTTTGATTATATCTGTGCCTTTTGGATCATAAACACTTAATAACATACTTTTATTTTTACAATTAGTACTTATTGTTAATTTACAAAAATTTGAAATTATGTGCTCAGATACATGGATGAATCGTAAGTTTTAGTTATAAAAATTAAAATTTAGATCATATTCATCATGGAGAAAATGTGAATAAAATATTTAATAAGCTGAATATTGGTAAAAGAAATGAGAAGGCCAAAAATCTCTTGAAATTTTATTAAAAAATTTTAATTAGAAGCTTTCACGAAAATATATTATGAAGAAGGTAGGAAATGAAGTTATGGATCATGAATTATGGACATATAAAAAATTAGTTACCAAACTGCAGAATCATTTATTTATTAATAATACTGTCATTATGGAAAAAAATATTCAATTTTTTTTTTCAAAAAAAAAAAAAAAAACTGAAATAACATTAAATTTAAAAAAAGACAAAATGATTATAATACATATTGGATTTTGTGTTAAACCTCTTATACACGATTGCTAATATTAATATTGTTGAGGAATAACCTTGCTTTGACTCTAATTTACTTTTAACTTTAGAATCATTAAATCTATTTTACTTCAATCCTGCAGCTATAGTGCAGAACGGGTATAAAAATTTGAATTTCATTTTTGCTTCTTATGTTTCTTTTTGTATATATATGTGGGGAAAATTTTTAATTTAGTAACTGGAATCTATTTAGCATTGTCTGTAAACAAGTCAGCATTGGTTAACAAATCAGATCATGAATTTACAATTTTTTTCATGCTGGAAAAATCATCACTTTTGAAGATATGATATCACCGTCTTTTAGAAATAATTTTGACAGTATGCCAAAATATGTAAATAATCTATTTATTACCCATATTCAGATGCTAAATACGAAATTAAATGTATATCCTAGGTGTTTTGTTTATATTCTATACAACAAGCATGATTATTTATATCAGCCCAAAATAGGGTTGAAAGCTTCCGTATTCTCCTACCAGAAAATAGAGATAATTGACTCTGTACAAATTTTTCCAGCAATAAATATTTAAAGCATAGTAATAAAGGGATAGAAATAAGAAGTGTACCTTTAATAAGTCTAAAATTTCAAATCTAATCTTTTTGTAAAGCTGTTTATCCAACTGCACATGTGCAAAATGTCATGGTAGTATAAGGTCATGCTTTTTTATATAAAGTATGCATTTAGAGAAGTTCTCTATTTTCTCGCAAAGTTCAATATTGCTTATCTTTTTTCTTCCCACTATGTTTTCCCATTGCACTGTTATTTTCTTAGTGTATAAATGTATTTAAAAAAAGTGACAAATTTGTATTCAATAAATTCTACTTAAATAATTCAACAAGTAAGAACTGGGTTATTTTTACATATCAAAATTTTAATGTTATAATTTAAAAAGAAATTGCAAACAGAACTAGGAAGATGATTTATAATTCGTGTCAAAAATCCATATAATTCTTCGTCCCATAATATATGGATCATCAGAATTTTACTTTATATTGAATCTGCAAGCCTATTTTAAATTAGGCTGAACATTTAGCCATCACTTTACAATCCATTTGGTTTTCTCTCTTCTTCTCTTTTTTTTTTTTTTTTTTTTGGTTACATTTTATATTATAATATTATATCTATATTTTTTGGAAGGATGGGTGCATCAGTGTTTATTTTTGCTTACAAGTTCCATTGTCGTCATTCTTATCATTGATTTACAGATTTTTAAACGCTTTAGGAAACAATGTTATGTGCATTTATGTATATATACATACCTATATTTGTACATCTGAAAAGTTCTCCAAGTGTTTTTTTTTTTTTTTTTTTATATATAAATACAAATGAAGCAGAAAAAAAGATGAAAACATTTCATCGAATCACATAAGCACCATTTTGCTTTAGACCTTTTTGTGATCTCTTTGGCAGCTGGAAAATCCCTTTCTAAAAATATTCATTAGGTTTATTTGCACAAAAATTATCAAGGTGCGGTTTCAGAGTCTCCAAAGAAGTGAAAGTATATTTTGAAGTAACCTCAAGAGGCGAAAATCCAAGGACGAAGCTCTGGTGAATATGAGGAGTAACATGAAACATGCTATCAATCTTCAAGGAAAAAATGTTGAACTGAGTTCCAGTGCAAAAAGGTAATGTTCCATCAAGATAATGCAAAACCACATGTGTCTGCATTCACTGGCTGGGCTGTGTATGGACTGGAATGGGATCTTTTGCCACATGCACCTTACAGCCCTGACATCGCTCCTTCAGACTTCTATTCTTTTCTCCTACCTTTCCCAAACAGCAGAAGTCTTTGTCTGACATTCATCAAAATGTGGAGTTGAGCACTCTCATGAAGGAAGATAACACCTTGATGATTGTTCAATTCTGGGCACTTTGTTTCAAATTCTGCTTTTAAAGTTGGCATTTGGAAACAGAACATTTCCAAATTTCCTGTCTGATTTGAAGGCAACAATTAAAGCATACACAAAATATTGCTTTTTGGAATGGAGCCCCCTCTCGGTATTATTAAAGAACGTTCTTTTGGCTTACTCAATAAGATCTTTTTCTTGTAATGTTATAGTATCCACTTCTCATCTCCAGTAATCAGCAATTTCAAAAACAGAGTTTGTTTATTTCTTTGCAGCTTCAGGAATATTTGATCTGTGTGATAGTTCACGAGCTATATAACATTAATTTTCAGTGAGAGCTACTTTTAATAGATCCTTGTTCACAGGGGATGGTCATCCAGAGTAGACATCATCTTTGAGGAAATTTTAAAGCTTAAACTTCACGAACTGCATCATCAGAAGCAACATGTCATCTATATATAGCAGAAATTTGATTAGCATTTTTCTTTTTCTTTTAAAATAAAAGTATAATATGATGAAAATGAACTATTGAGTTTGCCATTCTTAGAACACCGGAAAAAAAAAATTACGTCGCAACACATGTTAGAATTATTCAACGTGAGCAGAAAAGACTGTATAAACAACTCCTTCAATCAACGTCACTCCTTGTCAGCAGTAATAAAATAATTAGCAGAAAATGCACTATGATCTTAAAAATCACAGAACGTTTTGAATGACCCATATGTACATATAGTTAATGATACATAAGTTATTAGCATCAAAATTTGAGTTCACAAATAAAACTATTAGAAATTTAATAAACTTGCAAAGTTTTCAAAATAGAAAATAAACTGCTATTTTTATTCTCACACTTTTTTTTTTTTTTTTTTTCAAATTCATAATCTGAAAACTTGCATATTTCATTTATTCAAAATAAAACCTTTCTAATATTTTAGAATAAATTTTAAGAAATAAAAATATAGATGTATATTTATTTTGTCTGGCTGTAATTCTAAGACAAAAAATCTTAATTTACTCCCTTTTTCTTTCTGCATTTCCTTGAAATAATACTGTTTGCCAAACATAACATGCTGGTCTGTCATACTATGACAAACAAGATTTATGTAGGAACTTGTGTCCAAAAATGAGAAACAGCGACTGCTAGAGGGTAATGCTCGAGACATATGGGAGAGAGGGAAGTGTTATCATTTCAGACAAGGACACTGTAGGAAAAGGATGAATAGGTTTACTAACTCAAAATTAGTCGATATGCATTCTGTGTACGGTGTCGCTGATGGAATGGAAGACCCACCATACAGATGCACCTTGAATGCTTGCCAAACAACCAAGATGAGCTTTGTTTGGACAACTGCATTGCAGATTGCATGAAGCAAGAGCTTTCCAATTAAGTAGCCACATCAATTGAGAATGCACTACATGCACATTTGTCATAGAGGAAGCTTGTGCTACAGTACAGCTTAGTTGCACAGCACCTTGTCATAGAACCTGCAGCACAGCATCTTGTCATACAAGAAGCTGTTCTACAGGAATGAACCAGTAGCATCCTTACCACGTTCAAACAATACAGGCATTTTACAATGATGATCATCCCCAGCACTTCACATGCTAGTACTTGCACAAATGGGTTGCATAGCCAGATTTTCCATCTTGGATTTTATTTTCTGATGAAGCCTCTTTTACATAGGACGGTGTCCCGAGCCTGCACAACATGCATGGGTGGGAACACGAAAACCCAAGGTGTACACGTGCCCAAGGAAGTCAACATCATTGAACCATAAAAATTTGGGCTGGTATTATCAATGACATGTTAACTGGCCCTTACCTACTACCTCAACGAGAAAAATATATCACACTTTTTTTAGAAAGAGTGTTGCTAGATCTGATGGTTGATGTTCCAGCAGCTACAAGCCAAAACATCTGGTTTCAGCATGACGAAGTGCCTGCATATTTTAGCAGCACTGTGTGGAAATACCTCGACAGAGCATATCCTGATTGCTGGATTGGCAGAGGCAGACTGGTTGCATAATCACCACAATCATTGCAGCTTTCTTATAACAAAATGCAACCTGACTCTCCTGGATTTCTATCAGAGAGGATACATGAAGTCCACGGTATACAAGACAATTGTAATATTTGACGTGGATCTCGTTGCCAAGATCATGGCAGTGGCAGCACACGTCTGGGACACACCTGCCTATTTTGAATACCACTGAGATGTCTTCCAGTGCCTGAAAATAGGTGATAGCAAACCAGTAATTTCTTTGAAATACTTGAAATCCATGCATAAACATTGTGAAGCATGCACAGTGGTAAATGAAAGGAATTTTGAACGCCTTCTGTGATTTAACCATGTTCTTTAATAAAAGTCATATTAACACCTCTTTCAATAGTCTTTTTTATTCCCCTTCAATACCTATGAACACCTCCCCCTAGCAGTTGCCAATCGCATTTTCAAATATGAATTCTTACATAAATGGGCACAAGTTCCTAGTACTGAATTTATACTATACACTTTTTTTGGGGGGGGAGGGTTAGATTACTAAGTAAAATATGCCAAAATTTCAAGATTTACATACAGCATACAAAATGAAATCACAAAGTTTTTGCAAGAGATTCTGGAAGAATAATTCTGAAGAAATCAAAATTAAAGTGAATGGGTTTCATGTTATATAAAAACATAAAATTTAAATCATGATACGCATAACACAGAGCACGAGATAAGAATATGTAAAAATCTAATTTCAAATTTAACTGTTATATTAACCCTTTGCGGTCGTATGTTCACTCTCAGCCACCAAAGCCTTTTTACCATTCCGGTCGTATGTCTGCTCTCAGCCATCACAGCAAGGAACTATACGAATTGTATACTGTATGCATTCATGTATCAGTTTACCCTTTTCCTATACGAACCTACTAAAGACTAAAGAACCTATTAACGAACCAATATGGTGCTCCATCGATTGGAGATATCGTAATCTAATCTAAACAAAAGTTGTGACCCAGCGCTCGCCATGCAAGATGCAGTGGCAAGTCAGTCGTCTTCTGAACGTAATGAAATCGACAATGCTCGACGATACCTTGTAGAATTCCAAAGAATATTTTATAAATTGTATTTAACAGTAATTAGACATTCTCTTTTCTTAAAATATTCCAAAATAATTCCCTAAAATGGCAAAAAGAAAGTTACCGCAAGAAGTGTTCGGTGAAACTGACAATAGCGATAAAGAGTTTTATTTTGGCCTCTTGAATAATGACTCTGATAGAGAAAGTGATAACGATTGTAGTGACTCTGATAGTGACATAGTTCCCGTGAAGCGACGCATAAGGCAGTTAACAATATCCAGCGACAGTGAAACAGAAGAAAATGATGAAAATGAGAATACAGTCAAAAGTCTTTAATCCGGATGCCCATAATCCGGACTTCAAAGCTACAAACTTTCTGCGCATGCGTCAACACATAATGCATTCACACATGCGCGTAATACCTTTACACATGCGCATAATACGTTTATGCAGGCCGTTTAATGTATAATGGATGGTATAAGCTAAGCTAAAATTATCTAATTATCTATTTCAGTTAATGTTGCAGATTGCATTGTTTAATCTTCTAATTGGGTAGGATTATTATTTTTTGCAGACTGTTAGAGCAATTTTATAAAAGTAAGCTTGAACTTTTGATTATGTCAAAAAGAATTTCCGATTCTGGAGATGCCAAAGGATCTACAAAGCGAAAGCATGTTTCCATGCCCATCAAACAAAAAAGTGGAATTGCTGCAAAAAATGGATAAAGGCATATCCTTTGTTTCTCTAACCATTCCGAAATCTGTTTATCAATTTCATGCTGCTCTGGGGGGGGGGGGCCCGCAATGAACTGGAAGTTGATCTGTCAGTTTTTGAACTGGAAGTTGATATATATTATCTTCAGGGAAGATGTTTCTATTTTATTCGGCTTATTATTCCTTACTAAATGTAGAATTTCATCTTGATGTACTCCGTCTTTGATATGATTTAAATCAAATTCCTCATCATTATAAATATCACGAATACACATCAAATAGTTTTCTGGTTGCAATTTTCTAATTTGGACTATGCGTAATGTATGCTTTACACACGCGCGTGTTGAAAGAAATATTTAATAAAATAAACAAATAAATATTAAGCTTTTTTTTGTAAATTTTGATACCCTTTAGATCATAATTGCTCTTTATTACATAAATTATGGTTTCATATTTTTAATTTTTGTAATTTCTGCATGCCATCTTACCAGATTTAAACTGATGATTTATAATCCGGAAAAATCGATAATCCGTAATCGCCGAAGTCCTGACGAGTCCAGATTAAAGACTTTTGACTGCAGTAATATAAACAAATTTACTACTTGGAGAGACATTACGTACACAGATCAGCCAGAATCAAAAACTAATTTTTTGACGGGATCGAAGAAAAATATCACATGAAGGTGAATTATAAAACATAATTTTTATACAAAAACATATCACTAGATGAGTGTACTGACTAAAAATATATCTAAAGTTTACAAAAGAAATACTAAATCTTGTTTATCCATCGTAAACTTGCATGTTATGTATCCTTGCTCTATCGACGGAAATTAATTCCGACCAGTACGATACCCATCTCCAAATTTAATCTGATCGCAAAGGGTTAAAAGTATTTACATTTTTTTTTTAATTCATGCATTTGCTATATATGTGAAATTTACCTCTGGAACACCTTTTTCAGCAGCTGCAGTTAGTAAAAGTTTAGCAGCTTCAATGTCAATGGGCAAACCACCTATTCCCTTTAGAAAATATACAGCAAGATTAAAGGCTGCTAAGCCATGTCCTTTCATTGCAGCTTTCTTATAACAAAATGCAGCCTAAAAATCAAATAAGCAAACAAAAAATAATTTAGAACATCAGAATGGTCAGATCAAAGTATTATAATCAATTTTTATAAGTAAACACCTGTATCTCTGGTATCTTTTCTTTCTGCATAAAAATTTAAATCTAATGATGATAATAATAAAATTCTATAAAAATAGACTGCATTTATCTAAATTTTTTTCTTTCATTATTTTTAATTTTATTTAAATTTATGTTTCATATTATGCTCTGAAATACACAAGTTGGCAATTTTCCTGTCTTGGGAGCCATATTCTAGGAAAAACACAATATATTTTTAGCATTAATTTGATAATGTAAAGTTACACAATATTTTATTTCTTACATATCTTCTCTGTTGAAGAATCAGATATTCTTAGCTCGAAAAGAGGATAAAACTTGTTTTTTTTTTAACAATAAAAGCTAATAATAATTAAAATAATAAAACTAATAATAGTCTATATAATAAATCTGATAGTAGTCTATATAATAAAACTAATAATAATCTAATAAACTTTATAATAATAAAAACTAGTAACATCAATTGCATAACTTGCTATTTTGTGTGAATTTTCACTTTCCTATTTATCACATTATCTGGATCTGTAAAATACATTAATCTTAGAAAAACAGATTTAAATTGAGATGCCTCACAAGGGCCTGAAGGTAGCAAATCAGTGATTTCTTTGAAATATGGAAAAGTTGTGAGAACAATTTTTCTAAGAAGCCATCAGAGAAGAAAATTACACAAAGTTTTCAGAAATGCGACATAAGCAGCATGCTAGATGGCAATAAAGATGACTTTGGCAAATGATGGCAGCATATGAATGCTACTGGTACATGAAATCAGTGCAAGAATTTTTTGAAAGAAAATATATATACACAATAATCCAATGAGCTACATTGCTGAAATGAGCAAAAATGAATTAAATGCCACTAATATAAGCTATTGCAATAATAATTAAAAGTTTGTATACATCTTTTATTACAAACTCTCTCACAAATCTGGGATCCATCTGATGATCCAGTTATCTTATGTTCTTAAAAGTACTGTTTACATGTTACATGTATAAAAAAAATAAACATTAATCAGATTATTATTTTCACTTTATATATATATATATATATAAGCATTCTTCAGATTTTTTTAGCTACTTGTACATTTTACTTTGCGAAGATATCAATTCAATCCCATTTTTCAGTGTAAGCTGATATATTAAAAATAACACTGCATTAAAAAAGGCATTATATGACTTAATTAATGGATTAAATAGTATGCTTAGTACTAATCAAGACCCACCTATATTTAACCAAGAAATGTGTCCAAAAATGTAATCCTATTACTACTTTACTAGGTTAAGAGGTTGCAAGTTTCTTGGACAGAGTAAATGTAAATTGTGCTTAATCTAAAATTTTCCTCAAATATTAAAGAATTTAAAAATCTGAAAATATACATTTATACTTAGAAAGCAGAAAACATGAAGTCAAATGCAATAAAAACAGCTGCCCCAATTACAGCCTAAATGGAAGATTAAATAGTTATTTCTACTTGCAATTACAAATTTAAAGTTGCTTTGTGTAAGGAATATTAAAACTGACAACTGTACAACACTTTTTCTTATGTTGATAATTAAAAAACAGAACCCAAATCTAATGATCAAGAGACAGAGTGAAGATATTATCCTCCACAGAATGTGTAAACAGACTCCATTCACTGTGTCATATGGTTTTAAAATGTTTCTTCAAATGTTAATATGAAGTGTTTTCAATAAATTCATGCTTACATATAGGTTTACAAGAAAAAAAATCCGATTTGTACACCAGAACTTCCTTGTACACAATATTAAATTATACGCATTTTTCCTGCATTTCATTTAAACTTATGTCATTAGAGATATATTTTTTGTTCAATTAATTCAGTTCTCACTTTGCAGCAAGGCAAAAATACATAAAAATTCAAAATATCTTCATTAAAAATTGAAAGATATAGAAAAACATAAAAAACAATATACAGTTAAAACTTTTCTTTACCATTAAAATTACAGTTTCTATGCAAAAACAAGCAATTCGGTCAGCAGGCAAGAAGGCAGATTTTTCAGTGAACAAAACTAAAAGTTTCATTTTGATCTAACTTGACAAAAAGACAATGAAGAAGCAGAAAGACTTAATTAACTAATCTGCTAAGTTTCAAATGTAAACAAATATGGCTGCTATGGTTAAAAAAAATTAGGCTTAGACACACTTAAACAACTTTTAAATTGCTGATAATTCTACAACTATTGCATGCAAATTAACCAAAGGCATAAAAACCGTAACCAGATGATAAGAACAACATAATTAGCAAAAAAATGCACATTTTACCAACCTCGTACAAGAAGAAACAAACTGAGCTTCCTGAGCCAAGTAACAGAGTGGGTATATTATACATCAAAGGGCCATTGCATTATGACCACCCTGTTAATAACATGTAGGGCCACCTTCAGACCTCAAAACTGCCAGCACCCAGAGTGGCATTGATGTGACATAAGGTGCTGATAGGTAGTCTGAGGTATCTGGTGCCAAGCGTGCACCAACAAGTCTTGCAATTCTCGTACATTGCGAGGGGGTAGTGCAGCAGCATGAATTTGGATTTGCAAGTGTTAGCACAAATGCTCTATTGGATTAAATGTCAGGGGAACTTGGAAGCCAAGACATAACTTGAAAGTAACTAGAATGTTCTTCGAATCATTCCCAGACGATTGACCCTCATGACATGGTGCAATATCCTGTTGGTAAGCACCATCCTCCACTGGAAATACTGTTGTCATGAGTGAGTGAACCTGGTTTACTACGATATTCATGTAGCGCACAGACATTAGGGATTGTGGGTCCTAATGTTCGCTATGAAAATATTGACCACACCATAACAGACCAACCACCGGCTTGTCTCCATCCAACTGTACATCAGGGAGCTAGGGTTTCATTCGGAAATCGACGTATTAGAACATGCCCGTCGATGTGATGGACCAGAAAACATGATTCATCGAACCATGCAACTTTCTTCCATTCTTCTAATGTCCAATTCTGATGTTTCTTGGCCCATTGCAAATGCAGCTGGCAATGATGTGCTGTCAGTGCAGGGACATGCTTCGGCCTCCAGCTGCTAAAGTCCATATGCAGCAATGTACACTGCATAGTGTGTTGAGAAACACTGTCCATGTTCTAGCTGGTGGTGATTTCGGCTGTTGCAGCTCTTCGATCATGGTGCACAATGCATATCAATCCCCACTCTCCTCTGGAATCAATGCGCCGTCAATGAAACACTGCTGGCCAGCAACTTTTCCTTTCACCATCCCAACACCGCTTTCGATATGTGCTCACAACAACTACGTGTGAACAGCCCACTAAACATGTCGTTTCTGATATTGATGTCCCCCTGTCGCCAAGCCATAATGATTTGACCTTTATTGATGTCTGATAAATCAGACGCTTTTCCCATAATGTCACTAATCACGCTATGTTTGGAAAGACGATGCATAGCCACTTTATGTACTCCAACATCAACTGTGCACGCACAGTGGTTTTGCTCCTGTGTGAACCCATTGTTATAGATAAAGGGTGGTCATGGCTCTTCAGTGTATACATATAAATATATTTATATATGTTTGGCGCGACTGACTGCAACAAAAAGGGAGATGCACAATTACATGTAATAGCAATTCTGTATACAGAAGTTCAAAGTTCTGAGACTACCCATTTTTGAGTAATGCAAGATACATACATAAGTACATACGCCATGAAAAAATATCTTCTAAATCCATTTTAAATAGCAATTCTGTATACAGAAGTTCAAAGTTCTGAGGCTACCCATTTTTGAGTAATGCAAGATACATACATACGTACATACGCCATGAAAAAATATCTTCTAAATCCATTTTAAATCAGTTTTATAATTTGTTTGGGGAAAAAGAGTCTTTATTGTGTCTTTACATATAGATGTCATGCAAAAATATTGTTAAATTGCATTTGATAGTGGTCAAAATGGATATTTTCATTGAAATATGAAACCTGGAATTTTTCATGATTACAATACTTCCTTTATTTCACACAAGGATGTAAAAAGGAGAAAGAAAAAAAAGAATTTTGGAAGTAAGATGCCTATACACTGCTACCAAATAACAAAAATCTATGAAAATGGAAAAGCCTTATATCTGCCACCTTCTAGTTACATAAAACAAAATACATGCTTCAAACAGACTAAATAATTGTTTCTCCATTAACAGAATTAAAAACCACATTTGCGATGCATAAACAATAACTGAAATTTTCTGTCAGCAGTCACTTCAGTCCCTTCTTTTGTCATGAGACTTGAATGTTAATACCATTTCAGTCCTGCAGTCAATGGTCACATATAATTTTATCTTGTGGTTATTAGCAAGTCTTTCATTATGAATAATTCCATTATTCTTCTGAAAGAATTTAATATAAAACTTTTCACCATTTGCAACTGTCCAATTTCAAAATTTCCATCAATTCCCTCATCAGAAAAAAGGGGGAAATGAATCAAAATCTCTTATGAGAAAAATAACATAAGTTTTTTACAATAGCAACACGTACCAAACGGTATGGATAAAAAATGCAAGATAACATAAAATAACAGTTAAAACATTTTTTTTGAGAGATTATGCTAAAAACGTTGCTGGTGTCAAAAAATAAATAAAAAGTGGGCAAGGCAGGAAATACACTTTCTGCAAAATTTGAAATATTCTACATTTCATACCACTCATTTACATACCAAAAAATAGAAAAGCAAATTACTTGAAATAAGTACAAAGAAACAAAAGAATATCATATTAGATAGTTAAATAGTGGGATTTGGAAGATGGGAGAGAGGAGAATAGAAAACTATACCCGATTTAAATTAACTCTTGTTCCTTTTCCTAATTCATAGCAAAGTCCCAAGTTATAAAATCCTTGGCTCGATCCAAGACGTGCAGCAGCCTGGAAGTACCGAAATGCTTTTCTTCCATTCTCATTTACACATGAAAATCCAGCTGAGTTTTCCAAAGCAGCTGCATATTGAAGAGGAAGTTTTCTCAAATCTTCCAATACATCTAAATTATGGTATAACTGAAAAATCAATGAAAGAAATATATGATAAAAGGAACTTATATTGGAAGCTGCATCCAACTTAAGTTTTCTATGCAGAATTTTATTAGATATGTTACTGATCTTAATAAATAGTTTAATTGCACAATATATTATTTATTCATGTACTATCCTCCACATAACTCACTAAGAAGGTTATTATAATTTGAAAATAAACTTAGAAATATGAGTACAGTTTTCATGAAATGATTTCAATAGGGAGTATGTTTGGTTGAGGGGGGGACATATCTTATATAGAAGGTAAAACAGTACAATATTCATAACAGAGGAAAACACTTTATACAAAAGTTTATTCAATATTATAACACATTCATTTATCATAAGAAATTACGAGTCTAGAGATACTATGGAATAATATCTCGATTGGTGTAAGAAATTATTTGCCAATGGTTTCTTTTTATATGCATTATAGATGATGGGTTAAAAAAAGTAGATAGTAAAAATAGAGCACTACAAATAGAATCATACAACCAAAGAAATTTATTAGTATCAAATCTTGAGAGTGACAGACATTAAGGCACTAAGAACTCATTAATTCTGAATTATTTCTGCCTTCATTAAAAGTTCTACTGCTTTATTAAGATTTAAGAAGAGATGGTGCTCTTTCATTAAAAAATTATCAAGTTAAATCTCGAGATTAAATATGACACAGTGAAACTTAACCAAAACTTAGCTGACACAGTACAACTTAAAAGATTACCCAATACAGAGGAAAGTGTGTTGGCTGAAAAATATTTAACAGCCACTGCAAACTAATCCTTTTTGATAAAGTCGGTTTTGGAAACTTCTATAAATCAACAAATCTTGATTAAAAGCTGGAATAGAGATCGAATTCAGCAAGCATAAAATTTTAATCCACTTTAAAGGGTATGTTTTACAACCATTTTGTATAATATCTTGCAACTTAGCTCTCGTGAAATTCTGCATATTAAGCATTATTAATAACAGCACTATAACAAGAGTGATATCATAAATTAACCTTTGTGAGGGAAATCTTTCAAACTACCAAATTCTTTTGGTTATTTCTACTAGAATATACAGTACAAAGTCCGTAATGCAGACTCGTTGGGATTCCAGATTAGGGGTTTTTCCAGATTATACATCATCAATTTAAATCCGGTAAGATGGCATGCAGAAATTATACAATTAAAAATATGAAACTGTTATTTATGAAATAAAGAGCAATTATGATTTAAAGGGTATCAAAATTTACAAAAAAAAAAAAAAAAAAAAGAAAAGAAAAGAACTTAATATTTATTTGTTTACATTTCATTACATAAACATTTCTATCAATGTAAGTTGTTTAAGTTGCTTCGTTTTTTGTGCTAATACTTTCTCTTTAATTCTAGAAACAGACATAATTTCTTGTTCAGTTACAAAGTTCCACTGTTCAAGTCCTGTAATTGCTGTGTCGAGAATACCGACTAACTTGTCAATCAAAATTTTTTCATTTTCAATGACGTTCTCTGTTATTTTCTTCACTATCAGAAACACGCATGGCTAAACGCTTTACTGGCTTTACGCACATGTGTAAGTTTGTCGCTTTGAGGTCCAGATTATAGATCATTCTAGATAATGGATGTCCGGATTACGAACTTTGTACTGTAGTATTATTAATAGAATATCTTCATCTTTCTTTTCTCATTCAGATGTTTCTCAAAGCTTTCAACATAAATTCTTACATAAAAAAAATCATTAGGGCAAGCTTATCTCAAAATGTTACCACAATAAAAACATACATCTAAGTTCTCATATAAATTACTACCCATGTCCTTTATAAATGCCTTATTTTTGCCCAGATTTTAAAAGCCAGTAAATGGTTAAGAGCATGCACTAAGAAAATAAATGAATAATAAATCTCCTTTTTTATGAATAATTTTGCTCTCAAAATATGAATTATTTCTGAAGTTTTTTTTTTTTTTTTTTTTGTGAATACTTTTGTTGCACTCAAATCTGTATAATGTCTGTTAATTTACTTGCACAATAGTAATGTGATATATCTAAAAATCTCTAAAATATAAATTCATGTGAATAATACAGTGTAATCAGTGGCAGATGCCCGGTGGGCTGATGCGATTTCAGGCCAATCAAGAAACTAGAATGATCAAATCGACACAGATGACTTGGCGAGACAGCCCTACGCGTGAGGCAGACATGGATGCTGAGACCACATATCGCACTCAAACTCACATGAGATACAGTAGCTGTAGGATGTAGGGTAGGGACTATAATCAACAGTCGTAAAGTAGATTTAAGAAAATACCCTACAGTCATGCTCTAATTTCACGAACCAGTATTTGAAGAATAAAGGATTAGATTGCACCCCAGCATATAATATGATTAAGGAGGCTACAAGATCTTTAAAAGCCATTTCTAGAAACTTTGATTTAATATTTAATGCATCAAAATCATTTGCAACAGATTGCAATAAAAATTAGAAAGGCTGGGTTATGATATAATTATAGAAGAAGAACTACATGCTAGAAGATGCTGAAAAGTGATGCAAATGAACGACAAAGAATAATCCGACTATAATTTCAATTGCTCTATCAAACAATTCGAAGTTACTGTCTTTAAGTTTATATAAAGGGCACAGGAAGTTGTATGAAGATTTTGGGATTGAGAAGAGATTGATATATCTTTTCTCAATCCCAAAAACTTTTGAAAGCCATTGTCGTCGAATTCTTTCGATTATTTATCTACATAATTAGGCCATTATACAGGTGTAACAATTGATCATCTTTAGAAAGAATATCAGGACCTAGTAAGTAAATGGAAAATACTAAAAAATGCAATTGAAAATCATTACTTTGAATCTGATACCAAGTCAGAAGGACAGAGTGCTATATCTATTGATGAGTATTCATCCAAAGCTAAGTGCAACTTTTGTTAAAACTGCATCTTGTGTGTTATAGTAAAACGTACGCCAATGTCTTTTTTGCTTATGAGTTTATACTCACCCTATCTATAATGTAAATTGAATGCAAAAAAGCTTTTTAAAAATTAAAAATTGTAAAAAGTAGATTAAGGAGTACTATGAAGCAAGCTAATTTAAAGTAATTGCTATTGATGAACATAGAGAAGGATATTTTGGCTGAAGCAAAAATTGAAACTGTAATGGAGAATATATTTGCCCAGGTTCCTGGAATTAAAAAATATTTATGTGGCTAATAATGAATCAACCCCTGCTTTGTTTATATAATTATTTAGTCACTGTTATTTATTGTTTGTAGTTTATTTGCATATATATATGTCATAATAAACGCCAAGGAAAAGACGGAACACTGTAGATGCGTGATTAGACCCATATTGAAGAAGATTTTGATTGCGTAATATGTTAGTAATGCTAACTTGGTAATATCTAAAGAACTTGGCAGTCGAGGCAGTTTTAATTCCATTTTTATTTGCAACTGATATTTGTGGCCACAATCACTTGGCACTCTAGTCATGCCTTTCCACAGAAGATTTACATTTTTGATATTGTTGAGATAGAAAGCAAGCCAGCGAAATTACATCTTAGCACAGTAGAGAGCAAAAGCTGAAGTGCGAAGTTATGAAGGATGGAAGCACGACGAAGAAAAAAGTTTTGGTTTACAAAGGCAATTTCAGTTCCCAGTTATTACGTCATCAGAGCTGCGCGGGCCATAGAGTGATCTAGAAAATGACGCAATGCAGAGAAGTTATTACGATTTTAGAATAGAGAGGAAGAATTAATGTTTATAATTATAATTCTGATTCATATAATTTTATCTTACATATTCCCCCTTCAAAAAGAAAAAGGCGTAGCGACAGAGAAGCCTTTTTAAAGAGAAAGAGTTAAAGCACTAGCAAATGTAAAAAAATAAATAAATAAATAAATCATAAAATTTTTGTCCTGTAAAGTATAATTTATAAAAATAGATTTTTTTTAAAAAATAAATTTTTAATTTTTAGAGTCCTATTGAATTTTTCAGCATTTCAGTCCAAAAGTCTTTTTGTTTGTTCAGAAAAACAAAAGTTCACATAATCATAATTCTTCAGAGAAGGTTCTTGTTATTACAGAATATCACAAAATAAACTTTTACATAATCATTACTTATAATTAAATGCACATAAATATTTATGCTATTAATTTTCATATTGATAAATTATATTTTAATACCATATAATAATAGGAGTAAGCTTCAGAAAATATGGTTTCACCGTTATTATCTTTCATTTACAATTCCTGTATTATACCAACTGGAAGGCCTCGCAATGCTTCTAAACAAACCATATCCATCCATAGGTCTGTCCTCTTGAGCTAACCAGTGTGTTCTATGCACTGGTGGCCCAGGGTGCCTAGGCAGTTACTTGAAATGCAAAATTACTTATAATGCAAAGTCATTCAAAAACACAATTTACTCCATTTGTAAATTAATCTTCCCTATCATATTTGATGACGTATGATAATATAGCATTCTTATGATGAACATAGAGAAGGATATTTTGGCTGAGGCAAAAATTGAAAATGTAATAGAGGATATATTTGCCCAGGTGCCTGGAATTAAAAAATATTTATGTGGCTAATAATGAATCAACCGCTGCTTTGCTTATATAATTATTTAGTCACTGTTATTTATTGTTTGTAGTTTATTTGCATATATATATGTATATATGCAAGATAAAATATAAAACATAAAAAATATGTGAATCAAAATCATAATTTAAACTTACAGTAAAATTTCAATTCTCCCCTCTGTTCTAAAAATCAAAATAACTTCTCTGGATTGCGTCATTTCTAGATCATTCCAATTTGCATGGCCTTCGCAGAGCTGATGACGTAATAATTGGGAACTGAAACTTTTAACTCAAACCAAAACCTTTCTCTTCATGTGCTTCCATTTTGCATAACTACGTACTTCAGCTTTTTTTCTCTATGCTGCTAGAACATAGTTTCTCTGTGCTTTCTTCTTATCACAAAAGTATCAAAAATGTAAATG